TCTTTAAATCAAATAAAACCAAAAATCTATAAACATATGAACGTTAGATTAAGTGGCAAAAAAAAAAAAATAAACCTGTTAAAAATTGATTCAAATCTTTCCTGTTTATCCCATTGTAAAGACTTAACAATAAAGCTAAGTAGATCTAATGGCATATTGGGCAAAATTTGCCATTATGTTAATCTTGAGACAATTTTGAACATATACTATATGCTATATACATATATATATGCTATTTTTGGCTCACACCTTAGATATGCATGCCAAGTATGGGGGTAGTCCCATTAACAAGCTCTTATTAGGTTATCCCTCGTCCAAAACAAATCTTTAAAAATTATTTATTTGCAGAATATTAATCTTAACTCTTCAAAAGTAATAAAACTATGTGAATATATTCAACTTTAAAACTATGTGACTATATTCAACTTTAAAACTATGTGACTATATTCAACTTTAAAACTATGTGACTATATTCAACTTTAAAACTATGTGACTATATTCAACTTTAAAACTATGTGACTATATTCAACTTTAAAACTATGTGACTATATTCAACTTTAAAACTATGTGACTATATTCAACTTTAAAACTATGTGACTTCAACTTTTAAACTGTCAATTTGTCTGGAATCACCAACACAATAACCTACCAATTTATTTTCCGAAAGGGCCAAAATTCGTTATCACCTTCGTTACAATCGTAATTTAAACATGTCTGTCTCTAAACACCGCTCTCGTAATTACGGACATAAATCTATAAAATATCACTATATTACTACATACTTGGAACAACCTTCCTTATGAACTAAAAGCTCTCAATTTATTCTCAACCTTTAAAACCAGTTTATTCTACTTTTTATTAAAAAAATGCAGTTAATGTTTATAATTTCTATAGTCAATTTTTGTTGTCTTTAGTATTGTTTTTTTAATTTCTATAATATATTTTGTTGTCATTACAATTGCTTATTGTTATTTTTATAAAAATTTATATTACTATTATTAACTACTTTTAACTATAACTACTAATACTATTATTATTACTATTATTATTTACATTGTTGTTTTAATGTTATAAGTTTATTATTGTTATTATATATTGTGAAAATTAGCATTATATTTATTTTAATTAAATATTATTAACATTAGTAGGTGTTAACTTTATATTAGTAAATTCACTATTTGTAAACATCCTTGAATGTAAAATCTTAATTAAAGAAATAAATGACGATGATGATGATAATGATGTATATCTATAATTAAAGAAATAAATGACGATGATGATGATAATGATGTATATCTATAATTAAAGAAATAAATGACGATGATGATGATAATGATGAATATCTATAATTAAAGAAATAAATGACGATGATGATGATAATGATATCTATAAAAAAATAAATTTCAGTAATCTGATTTAAAGTAATATTTTTCTGGATTCAAAAAGATGTATGGTATAGAATTCAAGATATATGGTATAGAGTTCAAAAAGATATATGGTAAAGTTGTATTTTTCTGGTATAGAATTCAAAAGATATCTGGTATAGAATTCAGAATAAAAATTTTTTTTTTTTTTTTTTTTAAATAATTTATATGCATAATTAGTCCTTTTTGGGCAAAAAAGGGGTTACCTTCCGTCAAGAAAAACTTTTAAACAAAAAATATCTAAAAGCTCAAAATTGTTACACAAAATGTTGAAATTGAGTAGCACGTTCTGACATTTAAAAAAAATTTCATAAATATTTTACCCATAATGCTTCAAGACATTTTTGATTTTTAAATAATTGTAAATAAGGGGCAAATTTTTAAAAACAACTCATGTAATAACTAAATTAAATTTTTTTGTCAGAACATAAACAATAATCTTAGGAGCAATTGCACAAAGTTTTAAAGCAATTGGTAAAGTGCATAATTTGCAATCTTGACAGAAAATTAAAAAAGACATTTTGTAAAAACAGTAAATAAAGAAATATGTAGTATAAAAAGTATATAAAAATGATCGAAACTCTCCTTTTCCATAAATTTCACCCTCCTCTTCATTATTCTTATCATCAAACTTTTTCTGTTGGCTCTTAACTTTTTTATTTGTCATTTTCCATAATCACTAGACTTTATATTTTCTTGATTATAACGCAATGTTTTTTTTTCAGTTAAACTTTGTTAGTATGAATGTTCAAGTTTTTAAAAAATTCCAAAATATTATTTGATCTATTGTTAAACAACAAAACTGCTGATGTTACAGCAATCTCAATTATATTTCTAGCAACATAAACAGTTTTTGGAGCACAGGTTCATATAGTATTGTGGAACGCCTCATTATCATTTCGAGTCTCAAAATCTAAACATCTTTCTAAAAGATTGTCAGAGCCTAGATCTTTCCAAGAAAATATTTGTTTAATCAAATTACTTATAGACTTTGGTAAAGATATTTTTTGTAAAGATAGTCTTTGTATTTAGAAGTATTGCTTTTATTTATCTAATTGGTACTTACATCAAGATTCAATAGTTCAAGGGTAAAATTTATGACGGTTTTAAGGATCATTGTTTGTTGAACAATGATGCATGAGTGCAGCTCATACATCATTGTTCAGCAAACAGTGATGTATGAAAAAAAAAATACTCTTTTTCATGCCTTATATATCATCTTTATTTTGGCAAATTATTTGGCAAATGGCGAGGCCATAGTAATTCTGAAGCTTGCTAATTTCTTTATCAGTCATTTTTCTTATGCCAATCAGTCGCTTCCCATCAATTTATAGTTTTCCCTTGTAACTCACTTTTCGTTCTCTCAATTGTAATCCAAGTCTTTTTTACAATTCACTGTTTACAACTTTATATCTAGGATATGAATCTAAATTGATATATATCTTTAAATCAGGAGTCGAAATAAGTGCCGGACATCGCCACTCCTCAGACCATTTTTGAGACCTGCTATATGAGGGCAACCAACCATTGTTTATTTTTAATGAAATGTTCAAAATAATATCATTCTCATTTTGATCTTTAATTGTTTAGTAGGTAAAATACTTTTTTAAACAATCACATCTCGAGCAACAAATAAAAGTTATATAAGCAAATCCTTTTTATGCAGAAATGTCATGCCTAACTTGTAGTTTTTTGTATGGACAACATGGACAAGTTCCAATAAAATTGATAATTTCTTTTAATATTCATAAAAATATAGCATTTAGAGTCATTTATAACTATTGTGGCTTGTTAGAGTGTCTACTTTTTTTTTTTTTTTTTTTTTTTTTTTTCACAGAAACTGGTTTGTTTTAAGAAGTGAATGTCGTTGCTTCATCTATATCTGTATCTTCGCTTTTATTAAGAGTTTGTACTGTTCTTTATGTTAAACTTACGTTTTTTGCTCTAAACTTCTTTCTTATACCAGATGACCCCGTATTAACGTTGTAGCATAAACAAAATGCTCACATAAAATCGCCAATCATTAACATGCCTTCCGTTTAATTTGTAGTTTAAAGTTAGTTAAAACAAAGTAGTTAGAGGTGTATAAACATCCACTGTGTTATTGCCAAGAAAATGTTATTAAGCTAAATGGAAAACCGTATAAGATTTTCTAAAACTCTTGCAAGGTGGCTATTAGCGTTGATAGAGATCGAAAACTTTGCAACTTTAAAACAAAGTGTTTTTTTAACCATTTATAATTTTTTTTCCCATAAAAACAAGTGTCTTTTTTGAATTTTTTGGTGTTTAAAATATCTAAAAATTGTGAAAATTTCGAAAAAATGAAGATTATTTATAGATGTACCACCTTAAGAACCCAATTAAGAATTATTTAAAATTCATTTTTAATTTAGTTTCTTTTATCCAAATATCTATAAAAATTTAAATGTGTGCTTGAAAAAAAAATGTATTTTTCAAATAAGCAATTAAAAATTTTGATCAGGTTTTAAGTTGCTAATTTTTGTAGCTAATATATAGATTTGAAATTGCTTATTTTCATTAAACTAATTTTTAATTGTAAGAAAAAAAAAATGAAAAAAGTAGTAAAACCTCGTTGTTTTTTAAGAATATCAAAAGAAAAAATTCTTATAAAAGTAAAATACAACTTACTACGGATTAAGATGCGTAACAAAATCATTTTTTATTTGAATTTTCATGCTTTATTTTCTATACAATGTTCTTATATCCGAAGATATTTTGGGCTTAGCATAGGAACAGCCACAAATACTCAGACTAATCCAATGTAGCGTCCGTTATTGACCAACATTTTTGCGTACCAAAGTACTACTCATGTGCTGAGCTGGCAGTGGCAGGATTTGAACTCGTTTTTTTAACAATCCGGGTTTAAACTTTTTGTTCGACGCTCTAACGTCCAAATTTTTATAGATGCAAATATTTAACACAAATTCAGATGTTCATTTGCTTTTTTTTGGTAAAAATCTAAAACCATAAAAATACGATCGTTCACAAACACGTGTCGCTTCTATAAATTATATAGGCTCTCTGTTAATTCTAATCTCCGCAATTTGTTTTTATTTACAAAATAAACACGATACAATACCCGAAAGGGCAATCAAAATACAGTAGACTTAAAAGAAAATGACAGACTGAAAAACACTGAACTATGGCACTGCGTGAGAGCGATCATTGATTCAAACAATAAGATTGTTAGATTTACATAAGTGGAAGACTCAGATCATCGATACCAGAGTGACTGATAATAATTTAGAAGGGAATCAACTAAACCTATTGCGTTAAATTGACAAATATTGATAAAAATCATAAAATATATAAACTTTTTTAAATTTCAGTATACTTTTATAATCGGGTTTAGGTAGGCACAATGTAATTACGAAGGCAAAAAAATAAAAACACGTGTCATAATTTTAGAGAAAGACAAGACATACAGTGAGGTTAAAAAGGAAGTCCGGAGGAAAACACATACACAAAAAAACATTTTGTCTAAAAAATTATTTTCTAAAAAATTCGGGAGCATTCTTTTCTTAAAGTATTTGCACATCTCTAAGTTTAAAAAGATAAAACAATACAAACTGTGCGTTTATTTCGAAAAAAGAACAACTTAAGTTAGTAAATATGCATATAAATTTTGAATAAAAAGATATGAGGATTTTAAAAGTAGTTAAAAAAAGTTAAACTGCTTAACTTTGAACTATATTAATGACTTAACTGCTCATCGGTTGAATGCATTAAGGAGTCGTCCATAAATCACGTCACACTTCAAGGGGGGAGGGAAGAAGTTAGTGGTTTTTTGACGACTCCTCATACGGAACTTGTTACTAAAGAGTTACGATGTTGCGACAAGGAGGGGGCGGATGGGGTGGGGGTGAAACCGTTAAAAGCGGTCAAAAATTGCGTGACGTAATTTGTGGACGACCCCTGAAGCATTGATTAGTTTGTTTTTATATTTGTTTTTATTATTCAAAGTTTGTTTTTATTTAACTAAACCCTACAACTATAAGAGGTTCTTTTAAAAGTTATTCTTTAAAAAAACCTTTATCTCAAATATTCTTATCAAACTTGTGTATATTTATGATCGTACCACAGTTTGAAAAAAAAAAGAAAAAGAAAATTTCATTCTCTATCTAATCATTTATAGGCAAATCGAACAATTTTAACTATATTTCGTTCTTACCATGACATGGGATATATATATATATATATATATATATATATATATATATATATATATATATATATATATATATATATATATATATATATATATATATATATATATATATATATATGGATTATGACCTGAAATTAAGAATCGCTAAACTTTGTTATCGAAAAGTTTTCTCTTTTGGAATCGAGGGCTGCAAACTCGTTGTAACTAGACACGACTTTTGATCTTTTTGTCTTTATCATTGACGTTCAGCTCTAAAACAGAAGATTTCTTCTTAACACCAAATTCCTTTTTTAATATTTCTCTCTTACTCAATCACCTATTATTCAAGATCACTAGATAGCATATAAGTTAATAGGCATATGAAAGTTAGCCCAGCAAGGATCATAACCATCCTCGCCTGTTCTGGGTCCATTTTAAATATTAATTTCTCTGAATCCTCAGTACCTTCATTTTCCTCCTTTTTCTTTGAACTGGTTTCTTCTGTGAATGATGCATTTCGACCTTCATTACTATTTGAAGTATTTTCTTCATGTGGTTTATGTTTACCTAAAAAAAGAACAGTTACCAATTTGATAATACATGCACAATTAATTACTAATTATCAAAAGAGGTTAGAGTAAAAAAATCGATTACACGCAAAAAAATATTTATTCACAATAAATAATATTTTCTATTAGGATAAAAAAATATTAGGACAAGATGAAAATAGACAAAGTAATTAAAAATTATAAATACTTTTTCCCCTGTCAACACCACGAACACTTCCTTGGATGGTGTCATCCATCTCAGCAAATTTAACAATTAATTTTTTTTGTTCTTCAGTGAGATATCTGAAAAAAAAAAAAAAAATTAGAAACTAAAAAGCTCCCCCCCCAAAAAAATGCTTTTAAAATAAATAAAAATATATAGTACTCACTTGGGTAAATGTATTTTGATTTGTAAATAATGATCGCCATTTCCATGACCATTTAACCGCGGTATTCCTTTACCAATAAGGCGCATTTGTTGGTGTGATTGTGTGCCAGGAAGAAGCTATTAAAAAGGAAAACAGTTATAAATGTAAATTTCATAGCGGGCACAGACGTCCGTGAGACGTCTATACAACGTCTTCTGGACGTCACAAATGCGTAAAACAACCTTAAGATGTCCAGCAAACGTTCTGTACCCGCTGAGTATAGTCCATTAAAAAAAATTTCATAAAAAAAAAATTATTTTATTATTAAAAAAAAATTAAAAAATAAATCAAAAATTAAAAAAAAAAGTAAAGTTGAGTAATATAATAAGTTTAAATTTTATGAATCGTAAGTACCGTAAAAAACAACAGATTTTTAAGTGCACTGCAAGTCTAGTATTTGCATTTTGAAAATCTATTATATTCAAAAGGATGTTGGCATGCTAAAAACCATACTTTTAGTATTACACACAGTGGGTCACATTTCCAAAAACCTCTAAGTTCAATTTTTATAGTACACGCAGTTGAGTACATTTAAAAACAAAGTATTAATAATATACTTCTAAATGTGTAAGAGAAATTTTATATGCACAAAAAACAATGAATCAGGTCGTAATTTTTTTTTCCAGTCATATTTTCTTGTAGATTTTCAAAAAAAAATTTTAAAGCATTTTTGGTATCCTCTTCAGAAAAATTTTAATGAAAAATAATTTAATTAGTGTGTAGCCAATAATCAAAATCATCTGAAGAGTCTGAGGAACACCAAGAATAAGGTATACATTAAGCAAAGCAGTTTCTCAGCAAAATATCTTAAAATTTAATGAGCCAATATCACATTTTTAATTACACCTATATTCATTGTATGAGGTGATGCATCAATTAGATTTTGTCTCCCTTATTTTTTCTTCCGAGGTTGCAATGATTGTAATTTTTAGCAAGATATCCTTAAAAAATTTGTAGAATTCACACTTAAGCAAAAGTTACTTAGAAACTGCAGAAACAAAAAGAGTCCGCCACGGCAGTTTAAAATTTGATTGCTTTATCCTATTTATAAAATGAATTTAATTACTTGACCATGTTCTGATCTCTTGGTAGAAACTAATGCCAGCATTCATTAACTTTCATACTTATAAAACCAAATCAAAGCATATATATATATATATATATATATATATATATATATATATATATATATATATATATATATATATATATATATATATATATATATATATATATATATATATATATATATATATATAACAATTTTTAACATAAAAATTTACAAGGAAAACTGTAGCATTGTGCCTTTATACAAGTGAATTAATTAAAAAAACATAAACGCAACCGTCACATTAAAAAAAATTTTTCTATTAACTTTTGGTTTTTTGTATTTCATATTGGCAAAACTTTGCAACTGCTTTTAACCTACTTCCCATTATCCTATCGATCTGAAATTATGATCAGCGACTTTTTTATATTGAAACTGCATTCTACTAAATTTTGGGGGCTCAGACAGAAATAGATACAAAGTTATATTAATTTGAAAATTAAATAATTGGATACTTTCTAAATTAAACATAAATTAAGAATTTTGATTTAATGGTTACTGTTAGACTTGACAGAAATATAATTCAACATACTTTTGTAATCATAATTATAAAAATGTATAACCTGATATTGAGTTAATATCTGCATAGACTGTAAAAAAAATGAATCATTTGACCTTAATTTATCCTTTAATGCAGCCTGCATTTATCATGGTTAGGGTCCTTTGTAGCACCACACTTAACTTGTTTCTCTGTGCAGCGGCCTTGGTTGCCAAGGTTCGTGTTTCCAAGTTACATAGTTGAAAGAGGGTTATAACCACAATTAAGTAGCCTCCTCGCCTGTAGTGGCGTTTTCAACCTTGGGAAGGTGAACCAACATAAAAAAACAATAATAACAATAAATTAGACCTTCTTTATCTGCCAAGCTTGAGCCACTCTCCCATTGTTGTAAGGTCACATTTCTTTTTTTTTTGTTTATGGTCAATGCTCAAACATCTCTATTACAATAAATCAAAACTCATTCTTGCTTGTTTCTTATTCAACAATTTGCATCCTTTTAATGTATCTGTACCTTCATGCTATGAAAACTTTTATTAATCCAGTTTTTTTCCCTGCACATCGAAAAAACCTTAAAACTATTAGCCATCTTAATGTTTTTCTTTTATATACAACCTACAACTTTTTAAGTCTTCAGTAAACCATTTCCTAATGTTTTCACTTATTCTCTACTTTAATGTAACTTATAACTTATTAGTGGTTGCTAGCAATCTTGTTGGAAGTAAATTAAATTTTGAAAATGTATAAATATATGCCAGTATTTAATAAATAGTAAATAAATATAAATGCATAAAATTATAATATAAAAAGTAATATAAATTTTTTTCTAGCCTCAACTGTCAACCCCTACTAAATCTTATAGTTTAGTCGGGGCCAGGTTTGAAAAAAGTGATATTTTTAGCTGAGGCCAGGGCCCCGGTCACTCATTAAATGTAGGTAATTTTGGTTTTAGTTGATCTTTTTTTTTCAAATTTTGCTAGAATATTATATTTACTAGTTAAATGTTCATTAACAAAATTTTGCTATCATTTTTCAATACAATACAATTGTTCAAGTAAGAATAATGAACATAGTTTTGCAATCATTTATATTAAATTTCTTTTTTGATTTAAACCATTAAATAAAAATAGTTTTAAATACAAAAAAAACCAATGTTTCAAAAGCAACCTTCAACATCAGGCATTAAAACCTGGAGAGAAACCAGCTACTTAATATTTGGTCTACCTGATGTTTAATCAAAGAATGTGCTGCCTACAATCAATCAAGTTGTATGTTATTTTGAACAACTCAAAGAAAAGCCAAATGCAAAGAATGCAACAGTTATTTATATAACTAAAAATGATTTTATGGAACTATTGAACATTCCCTTTTTATTCTAAAAGAGTTTATCACTGACTCACTGTCATAATAAATAAAATGGTTTAAGCTAATCAAAATAAAACACAATACTATAGTAAAAAACATACATATAATACACATTAACGAAGTCAATGTTTAAGTTATCAGGAATGTTAGAGAATTGAAAAGGGAGATGGCTTTAAATAATAGAGAAATTGCTGAAAAACAAAAAACTCAATAAAAGCAGGCAATCCAGATGAATTTATAAAATAATTATGTGATCATGAAACTGAGAATGACAATCAAATAACAAAGATGACACAAGTTTTAAAAAGGTTGAGCAAGCAGATCAGATGAGGGTATGTTTAGTAAATCTAGAAAAAGAGGCGGAAAAGTAGGCGCTTCAAATTGTAATAAATACTTTCTTATAAAACTGAATGGGTGAATTTTGGTATTGTGATTAATGCAAAACGAAGTAACTTCAGATGTAACTCAAGTAACTTCAGGTGTAACTTGAGGTTCCATTTCTGTGTTAGCTCTCATCTGTATTAATAATATTCTTGGTGACACAACTATATTCTCTAATCTCGAAAATAAGTCATCTATCATCTCTTGTATCAACCAAAAAGTACTCTAGTTATAAGTGAATTTGTTCAAAAAAAAAAAGAAAAAAAAAGTACAATGTGTTCTAAAACAACTTTCATTGAAAGAAATCATGGCTTGTACAAGATTATGCAATGTGCTTATAATCAATATGTCAATAACTTAATAAAATTTTATTTGCTAAATACAAATGACAAAACACAAATGACAAAACACAAATCATAAAACACAAACCCCAAAACATAAATTATAATTGGACTCAAAAATTGAATTATGATTCAATTTTATCAAGTTTATTTCAAGAAATATTTTAATGGTTATTTTTCAAGCAAAAAAACAAAGTAAAAAAAGTAGTAAAAAGAATAATGATAGAAAAGTTATAAAAAGACAGCTATTAAGCTTAAACATCTAATAATAATCAAACAAAGTAAGATTTACTTACTGTTATCTCAACATCACCATGTATACCAGGCACAACTTGAGTTCCCCCAAGAATAGCTTGAGTAAAATGAACAGACAAATCAGAGTAAACATCAGTGCCCACACGCTCAAATATTTTGCTTTTTGCAACCTAAAAAAATTTTTACTTTGTAAATGTCTTTTGACTGTCTTTTAAACTTAATTTATAAAATGGTATATAGAAATAATTTATAAAAACAAAAATAAAACAAAATTTACAATAATATTATAATTAAATAAAATATTAATATTCATAAAATACTTTTTTACCTTAAAAGTAACAAAAAGTTCACCGTGAGAAACAGGTACTCTGACTGTTTGTCCATCTTCAATACCTAAAAATTTAAATTCAAAATACTTTCACTTTTTTAATTTGTAAAAATAACAATTATTTCAATAGTATATAACAGAGAAAACTTGTACAAACCAGCCGGCACAGGAACAGTAATAACTTTGTCTTCAAGTACAGTGCCTTTTCCAGTACATTTACGACATGGGTTATTTACAATTGAACCTTGACCTTGACAACGACGACAAGTTGATCTCATATTAAAAAAACCATTTGATAAAACTTCCTAAGGAAATTAAAGATTCTCTTAGTATTATTTGTTTTTTCTCATAGTTTTATATATTTTTTACACTTAAATAAATAATTACTTCGCCTGATCCATTACATTTTGAACATTTTTGAGCAGTAGACCCAGGTTCAGCTTTTTTTCCATTGCATCTATTACATATATTTTGTATTTGTACTCTTATATCTTTATTAACTCCTTTAACAGATTCCATAAATGACAAATTCATAACGTATTGCTAAAAAATTATTTTCTAAATGTTTAAGTATAAAGAATTAAAGAAACACCTTACTATCTTGAAATTAATTTAAAGTAATTAAAATTACGATAATTAAAAAAAATTTAAAATAATTTATACTTGCGTCGATCTAGCATCTTCGAATCCAAATGAAGAAGAAAAACCACTAGCTTTATTTCCGCCAAAAAACTGCTTAAAAATCTCATCAATATTTGCATCTTGAAATGGATTTTGGTAGCCACCTCCTCCACCTTCTAATGATAATTAAATAGCGCATATAAAAAAATGAAATCTTGAAAAACGATCATAAACCTTGAAGAACAAAAAAATTTGAAAAAAACAAAACCAAAAAAATAAAACAAAACTTACTAGCACCAGCAAAATCTGTTTGACCGAATTGATCATAGGCAGATCGTTTAGATTCATCACTTAAAATCTTTAAAATTAAATAAGCAACATTCATTTGCCAAATGAAAAATATAATTGCAAATTGAATTAAAAATCATATTTATTTTATGTTTTTACAGGTAAGAAACTTCAGAATCAAATATGTATAAATATGTAAAACAAACATAAAAATGTTGCTGTTATGAATGTTTGTGCTGCATAAACATAATAATAATAAATAATAATGATAAAATAAGATTGATGAATATTTCTATTATCACACTGTAATATAAGTCTTTATAATAACAACAAATATTCACTAAAATAAATAAAAAGCAGCATTATTTTTTAACAAACAAAATACATAGAATTAATTTTTAGTAATTAAATTGTGTATTTTGTACGTCACAATGTATACTACTTTTCAATGTTTCCCCAAAAATGTGCCTCAAGAAAAACTGAGAATTCATGCTCCAAATGTTGTGTTAAAATAGCTTTTATTTTTTTTACTTTTTAATCCTACTTTGATTCTCAGAGAGCGTTGCATTGGCAAGTTATAATCGGAAAACCTTTTTTGATGGTTAAAGTATTTTTTGCCACGGGTATTTTAGATTGTTTTACAATTCTAGATGAAATGTTTTTTTATAAGTTCTTGTATCCAATATTGTTTGTTACTTAAGTACTAAATGCGATGTTCAATAAGTTTTCTCTCAACCCAGGTTTGTTAATAAATAACATTTTTTATGGGGCTATCAAGACTTGTACCTAGGACATTTAAAAATTTATTTTGTATATTATTTATATTTTCTAGAAATCAGGGGCATACTGGCTCCAAAAAGCACATGCGGGATTTTTCAAAACGGCCAATATATGCTGGATTTTGCCAAATACAGGCCTTCTCGTAAGAGGCGTGCGATCGCACGCCTTATATAACCATGCATATAGTTCTTTATTTTAACAACTTGACCATGGCTCATTGCAAGTTTTGAAAAAAAATTAAGCAAATTTAAATGGGATTTTTAATTCAATTGATTCCATAATTACAATTAAACTGACACAAAATTTCCTGAGTACTTAAATGCAACTTAATAAAAGCAATCGTTGAAAAAAATATTCAGATTAGAGTTATTTATTGATAGCTTCTGTACTCATTTTGCAGGGCAAAATGAGTACAGAAGCTATCAATAAATAATTACAAACCGTTTTGTCATGGAAATATAATTTCTAAAAAGAAATTATTTACTAAAAAAAATAATTACAATAATCTTGAAATTAGTCGCATTTGCCAACTATTTTTTATCCTAGGGCGTGATATGGTTTCTTTTTTAATGAATGTTGACTCGCTTATCTCTATTTATTGACGAATGTCTCATTTAAGAGATTTATGTCAAACAAATTTCAAATAATTTTTATTCTAGTTAATAAATAATCAAATATATCAAAGATGCTTGGTAAATTTATTCAATTGTTATTTTTCAAAAACTTTTTTTTGCACATTTGCAAGGCGCGCGCAAAGTAATGATAAACGCACAATAAAAAAAAACTTTCAAAAGTGTTTTTAATATGCAAACAAACATTATTTCACTATATGGAAAATAAGAAAATTAAAGAAAAAGCATGCACAATTTTATTTATAATGAAATCATTTGCTTTAAACTTTTAATGTAATTGCTAAAAACATAAAAGAAACCATGTTTAAACATTATGATCGCTTTCCTTAATATAAGAAAGCAATCGAATTGTTTAAGAATGGTTTCTTTTGAAGTTTTTGCAAAAGTATTTATTTTAAGTAAAATTATGCATACTTTTGTGAGTGCATGCAAAAACCATGCTAAAACCTAATTACAAAAAAAGTGAATTACATAAAAAAATTACATAAAAAAGTGACGCTATGGAAAAAAGTAATAATGTTTTGGCATTTCTTAAAAAAAGTCTCTGAAATTAATTGTTTTTCATTTTAAATATATGTTTTTTATAATAAATAAAAAACTATTGATCGCAAAATTTTTTAGAAAAAATTGCTGAGGTAATGCGTTCGTTTTAAAAAATCTTAATCAAACGACAACATTTGCATAAGCAAAATTAAAGAAACATGATGTTTGTTTTTCTGTCAGTTTTTTAAGAAATGCACGCACATTTGTCGATTTGTTGCACCCTGTATCCTATTAACTTTTTAATAAAATTTTAAATTTACACCATAAAATTTTATTAAATTTAATAGCCATTTCCCTGACTATGTATTAGCCTGTCCTTGTATTAGCCTATTTATTTATGGGAAGGAATGATAAAGATTTTAGGAGCTGTGATTTTTTCACTTTTGCTTACAATTAAGTTTGCATTTATTAATAAATGTTTTAATTTTTTTTTGGCTTTTTCTTTATTTATTTTATCATTTTTTAAATATTTTACTTTTTTAGGTTAATTTTTGTTATATATATATTATTTTAAGGATTTTATTCTTTAGTCACTTTATGGGTTGTTTATTTTAATTTCAATTTGCTTATTTTTTTTTTTTAGCGCATTTTTTCAATTTGCCAATTTGTTTTTTTTAGCGCATTTTTTAAACTCGCTAATTATCAAAACTTGCAAAGAGCTGTGGTCAAGTTGGTAAAACAAAGAACTATATTCGTGGTCATAGGCCTGAAATATGCTTGATTTGAAGGCCAGCAGGTTTTATTGTGCTGCCGTAAGCACATTTTATGTTTTCATTCCTAAAAATAAACAATTTTCACCGTATTTTTAAGGTAACGAAATAGGATTTCTATTTTATTGTTTAAAAAACAATAACGTTAAAATTTAAAAAGTATATATATTATTAAACTAAATATATATATATATATATATATATATATATATATATATTTATTACATAAATAATGTTTCAGCATTATTACATATACAAGAATTATTGTATTTTATGTTATATAAACAAATTTTTCGAAAGAAACCTTTTTCTTCAAAATCAGTTAATTTTTTTTACATCTTTTTTGGTTTTGTTTGAATCGGCATTTTATCTAGTGAGTTTCCTAAGTAAACAAAATAATGCTAGCTATATTTTAGTAATGCGGCTAAATAACTGTACCATTATTTAGTCATATTATTAAAATATCTAGATTTATATAACTATTTTAATAACTATTAACTTAAAGATTGATAGATTATAAATATTTGTAAACCTTTGCTCACAAAAAAAAATTTGTGCTATATGGAACACCCTGAGCCGCAGAGAAGTGATAAAAAATAATTAATAAAGTACAAGCGTTAGTTCAAGAGAAAGTGTTTATTAGCGTTACAAAAACAACGGTACAACAAATTTTTTTTGAATGAATAAATCCGGAATATTTTCAAATAGAAATAAAATGCTTTATTTATTTATTTGTAAATATAGAAAAAATATTTAACTTTTTAAATAGTGGTAGCACATACAATAAGAGCAATTTTATAAAAACTCACACAAATTAATTATATTTAAAAATGTTACGATTTTTGTTTGTGAAAAAACAATTAATCGCTCTAATTTAACAAAAATTTTATCAATATGAATCTTTTTTCATAATTTAAAATTGTGAAAAAAGATTCATATTGATAAAAGATAAACACAATTATTTCTCATAATAATCATTGGCTAACTTAAAGAATTTTATATATGTAACAACTGATATAAAAAGCGATTTAAGTGACATAACGATCAATTAATTTTTCTAATATTGAATTTGTTTTGAGGCAAAAGTTACAAGCGGTTGCATTTTATTATGCAAAATAATAATATATATGCGTTTGAAGTCCAACAGTTGAATCAGAGATTTGTTAAAAAATTTAACTTGTGGAATAAAAAATAATTAAATATCATTTGTGAATCATTTTCAAAATTTACTAAAGGGTATAAAAATTCAAAAAAAGACACTTCTAAGATAAATAACGATAGGCCCGAGCGGGATTCCTGCATAGCCTCTGGGGCCAGCACGCCACTGCTTGAAATTCATTCTTGCGATAGGAGAACCCTAAATATTTGTAATTATTTAGAATGGTAAGCATAACTAACAATTTAAATATTTAAAGATGCCTTACATGATTTTAACTCAAACAAGCCCACATTTGGAGGAAAATTAAATAATTTAACATTTTATTAAAATTTATAAAATTAGTTTATTTAGGATAAAGCATAAATTAGTTAATAGATATATAACTAAAAGTGAACAAAACAAGGTAATTATCAAAAGATATTTTTTTAAAAAATCAGATTTTAATACTGGTATTTATAGAATAAATACCAGTAATACCGAAAGTTATTATTCAAGCTTAGAATGGTATTGCATGGCCTACACTCATATAGATAGATGAATACTTGAGTATATAGATATATATGTCTTTAACCATCATAGGTTAACTCATTTTGACAGTGGTATTAATATTCAATATGAGACCAAGACCAATATTATCACAAATGTACAATGAAAATTTAATTTTTTTTTTAATTATCAAATTAGATTGAGATGATTTGATTTTCCAATGATGTAGAATTAAACAGGCTACACTTACCATTTAAATCATTTAAAACAACCATTGAATTGTGTTAAAACAATTTTCGTCTCATGTTGTTTTTCAAAATATAATGATTGGAACTTGCATAAAGTTTTAAAATCAAAAATTTTGATCATTAAATAACAAAAATTTAAAAACAAAAATTTTAATCATCAAATAAAAGTTTTTTTATTTGACAATCAAAATTTGTGTTCGATTATTTAATGGTTGGAATTTATGAATAATTATTTAATAACTGAAATGCTATTCAAATTATTTAGTGATTAGAGTGTTTATTATTTTATAAGTAAAATGAGCTATAAATTTGGAATTAAAATAACATTCAGGATAATATATACAAAAAAAATTTGACATTGAAATTTTTTCATAATTATAAAAGAAAATAATTTGATCAGCTATGAGTTGATTGCAAAGAAAGAGAAAATAGAAAGAGAAAATAGAAAGAGAATAGATGAGTTGCAAAAAGAAAAAGAAAATAGAAAGAGAATAGCTGAGTTGCAATTTTGTTTTTGACTTATTCTAAAAATACTTACTTCATATGCTTGTTGAATTTCTTGAAACTTTTCTAATGCAGTTTTGTCTTTATTTGTATCTGGATGGTATTGTTTAGCTAACTATAATAAAAAAAAAATTGTTTTGCACTGATGATGTCATTTCAGTATGACATCATCATGTGACATTATATGTACACCTATATACACATATTAAAATACACACACACTCACACTCACACATACACACATATATAATATATATATTTGAGATTTTTTATTCTATATTATTAAGTAAATGTTAAATAACCTCCACACATTACTGAGAAAATTTAGTGCAACACCTATACATTAATTTTTTAAAACCTAATCTAAATAAAAAAATCATTAAAAGAACCAGCCTAAATATAACAGCAGTATTCCATACAAGAATAAATTAAATGTAAAAAAATGCTAACACAATAGTATTAATAGTATATAAAGAGGTAACATGCTTAATTTATGTTAATTTAAGATCGATTGTTTATATGGTTTCGACAAAAGGTCAGTATTGAATGGTATTTTAAAAAAGCAAGCAAAAATTGGATGAGAAAATCTTTTTGTTACAAAAGTCAGCAATAAAACAAAAAGATCAAAATCGGTATCTATTTTCAGACAGTTGTTAGACAGAAAATGAAATAATAGAAGTTTTTTAAGATTTAAAGACTTAGCTAATAAGAAGATTGTTTGGTGACGGGGCAATCTCCAGAGATTTTTAAAAGTTGAAACCACTAATCCCATTTTCCGACAGGTCAGAAAACAAAATTTATTTAAGCACTTGTTAAAAAGTTTAGTAATAAATAGAGTTCTGGAGAACACTTTTCTGTAACAAAACTATGACAACTATGTTATCTTGACCACAAATAGTTGAAGAGTTAAGTGGGAAATAACTTTAACAACAGAAGTAGGATTTGGAAGTCTAATAATTGGATGACAAAAAGAGTTTGAGTAAGAGATTAAGTCAAGAGATGAGTAAGAGTACTTTGCCATATCCTCTGCCATATCCTCTGCCATATCCTCTGCCATATCCTCTGCCATATCCTCTGCCATATCCTCTGCCATATCCTCTGCCATATCCTTGGATAGGTTATAAGATGGTAGAGTGTAAGACTTGTTTTAATAACACTGTTTAAGATTTTTCAAAAGTCCTGTGAACCTAACTTCTGAAATAAAATATGAGATTTAATAATTTTAGAATAATAGACACTAGTGTCAGACAATACTTTTTTGCAATGATTTTTTGAAATAATAAAAAGACGTTTGTTCTTAAGAGAGTTGTTTTTTATAAAATGATGTAAAAAAAAAAAAAAAAAAAAAATATGATTACAACTATAATGAAAATGATTAAAAAATAGCAGCTACACAAAGAGAAGACCATTGGCTGGTGAATTTTTGATGAGTCTTAATTGATAAAACACAGTGTAAAATGAAAAAAGTTTGATAAGTGATTTTCTACAAAATTATTATTTAAAAGTATTTGCATATATATATATATATATATATATATATATATATATATATATATATATATATATATATATATATATATATATATATATATATATATATATATATATATATATATATATATATATAGTACTGGTCATAAGTTTAGAGCCACCTGTTTTTTTCATCTTTTTGCGGCATAAGTATGGTGACGTTAACATTATAAGCATAACAATGCATATAGTAATTTGACAAGGTACGAATCAATTGATTTTCATGAATAATTGTGTATTAAACCAAATATAAATATTGATTTTCATGAGTTCTTTAATATTATAGCCAATTTTTGAACATTTTAACATATTTTGGTAACTTTATGATGTATTGGTATTAATGTTTTGGTTAATTCAGTTGTTATCTATGCTACTTTTTGGAATGTGTACACTAGTTAGATAATGTATTTAATGTTATTTTCGCTTTTATTTTAGAGTTTAAGTAAAATATTTTCTGAAATGGGCAAAGCTAAAAGCCTTGATTTAACTGTTCGGGCCCAGGTGGTGGCTTTAATTAGTGGCTTAAGCCTAAATGATATAGCCAAAAAATTGAAAAAAAGTCGCCATGCTGTACAAAATGTATATAAGAAACATTTGGAATCAAATACATTCACGGACAAACCCAGATGTGGCTGTCCTAGAATGTCAACTTTACGTCAAGATAGAACCTTAAAACGCCTGGCCATAACAAATCGTCGCCTTTCTTCCAAAATTTTGTCTTGACAGTGGCATGATGTTGGTGGACCTTTAACATCTCCAAAATCTGTACGTCGTTGTTTGAATAAACAAGGTTTGAATAATCGTGTTGCCATTAAAAAGCCTTTTATCTCCGAAATTAATCAGCAGAAGCGTCTCAAATTTGCACACGAATTTTTGCATTTTAGTGTTACTGATTTGCAAACGGTGTTGTTGTCTGATGAGTCCAAATTTAATTTAGCTGGTAATGATTCTCGATGTATTTTCGTTTGGCGTCGTCATTGTCGTCACGTCATTGGTGTCACGTATTTTTGTTTGGCGTCGTCAAATGAATCATATAAACCGGAATGTTTGCAGGGAACTGTAAAGCATGGTGGTGGTAGCATCATGGTGTGGGGTTGTATGTCATCTTTTGGGCCGGGCCAGTTGCATCAGGTGAAGGAATCATGAATGGTGCCATGTATAGAGATATTTTGCGAAAGCATTTGCTACCTTCAGCAACAGCATTGTTTCCTGCAACTTTTCCATGGATCTTTCAGCAAGACAATGATCCTAAGCACACGTCTAAAGTGGCTAAAGATTTTCTAGCTGCTAATGGTGTTCAAGTCTTGCACTGGCCACCCCAGTCACCGGGTTTGAACCCCATAGAAAATTTGTGGGATGAAATTGATCGCCGCTGTGCAGACAAACGTGCTAGTAATAAACATGAACTTTGGGACTTTATTTCTGCCGCTTGGACTAGTATTACTGCTGTTGATTGCAAGAAGCTTGTTGACACTATGCCAGCCCGGTTGGCTGAAGTAATTAAAAATAAAGGTGGACCTACTCATTATTAATACTTTAATACTCATTTTGGTACTAAAATATTATAACAATATATTTTGCATGTTTCGGTAATATAATATTTTGCTGCACTGGGGTTATGGCTTTATAATCTGCAAAAAACTAAAAAAAATGGGGTGGCTCTAAACTTATGACCAGTACTGTATATATATATATATATATATATATATATATATATATATATATATATATATATATATATATATATATATATATATATATATATATATATATATATATATATATATATATATATATATATATATATATATATATATATATATATATATATATATATATATATACATGAATCAGGAAAACAAGATATATCTTGTTTTCCTGATTCATATAATATATATATATATATATATATATATATATATATATATATATATATATATATATATATATATATATATATAATATGAATCAGGAAAACAAGATAAAGGAAGCTAATTGCAAAGAACTGATGTTCAAGGAAAAAACTGGACGAATAAGAGTTTTTAGAGCACTTAAGAACAATCACAGTAAAAGGAGACTTAACTGATGGAGTAACATAAGAATGATTTTTAGTAGATGGCACAAGAGACGCTAGCTTTTTAAAGCATTGCCCGTATATATATATATATATATATATATATATATATATATATATATATATATATATATATATATATATATATATATATATATATATATATGTATTAATGAAGAAAAAACAACTTTTTCTACTTTTCAATCATCAGCTATTGAATACAAAATCAAAAACAAAAAAAACCGCTAAAAATTACAAAATACTGTGTAGTGGGATCTTTACATTGCTAAAACATACTTGATGGCAACCAAAGAAAAAACAAAGATAAAAGGAATTTATTCTTGTGTCTGCATTTTGAAATCAACTCATTTTATTTATTTAATAAGTTATCACCTTTATATGTTAAAATAAGGAACTTTTTAAATAAGCAAAGATTGCAAATTTTTGACGAGGCGTTATAAGGATTGCAACGTTTTACAATTTTCTGCTTAATTAAGGGTGCAAACTTTTTGTCTTTTATGCCCTAAATTTCTTTAGACAACTCGGTATCATTTTTATATTTATTAATGTTAAAAGATTTTAGGTGATTAGCATACCAAGATTTGAATGGAGTTTCACATAAGCTAAGATATACTTTTTCTTTGTAGTCAGGTTTATTTGACGACACAGTGGCTTGATAAACAATGTTTTTTGTCAAGCACTGATTGTTTATGGGACAGATGGATTTGTTGACACAGTTGCATATTTTTCCCTCATCTTTATCTTGGCTATATAATAACCTGTGATTGTGCGAATTAATGATCAACTTGATATTTGACATACACGAGCAGTTTATTTTAATGGTATTTCGATTAAATATCTTACAAAGTTTGTGACCAACCGGAAAGTGCAGGTCTACCATGTTCATAAAACAACTGCTTATTTTTGTTGCAACATTGGTACAGAAAGGTGGGTTGTACCAGATTATGTTTCGCTTGTGATTTTTGAATTGGATCGGCTTTTTATTTGAATGGTAAGCGAATTTGCAGATAAAAGCTGATTTAGATAATGCATCTTGAAAAAAAGGAATGGATTGTTTAAAAATATTTTTGTTAGAAGAATTGGTTGACAATCTTAGTTTGATAGTTTGAGGAAGGCTTTTTTGTATACTAGGAGGGTGGTTAGATTCAGCTTTTATATAACTGATGGAATTACTAGGCTTGCAGTAAGGTTGGAAAGAACCGTCATTAAGATTTAACGTTAAGTCTAGATAATTAAAAATTTTAAAATTACAGCTGATAGATATATAAATATCATTATATTTAAAATTTTTTACAAAGTGCTTTTTAATTTTTTCCATCTGTTGACCACTCTGGCTCTCAAACACTGCTAGACCATCATCTCTATACAATCCAAATTCATCTTTATTGTAAGATTGCAATAATTGAAACAAGATAAATATTCCAACTAACTCATAAACTTCTGCGCCATCAAAGGCTCCCATGGTTATATCAATTATATCAAGTATATCA